GGATTCAAATTCCAAAAGCTCTTAAGCATTAGAGTGTTCTGCTCTAAAATCTCATAAAATCTCATAAAATAATGATAGGTATTATTATAGCCATTTTACGTTTGGGGAAAAAAAACAACTGAGGCTAAGAATGGTTAAGATACAAGTTACAGTGAATAAATCACAGAACTGATTTGAAAACATCTTTTTTAATTTCAAAGCCCATGCTTCTTTTCATTGTTACAGTGACTTTCATAAGAAGAAGTAGTCAAATATCATAGATGAGATGTTCAGTAATTGCCTAATGGACAAAGAAATGAATTAATTAACAAATGAAAAGTACTGGAAGCCTGCAAAGTGCAGTATCTTACAAACGGACCTCAAGTGATCTGAAAAAGTGAAGATGATTTTTACTTTTTAATGCCACAGGAAAAATTAAAAATAAAAGTTAAATGAAATTGAGCATAAAAAGGGAACTTCATGCTTAAGTCCAGTAATTTTCCAAATAGAGCAGAAATTATCAATAGTTAAGAAATTCTAGAATTGCAAAAGACCCCAAAGTGTCCTTCACATAGGGACACTAGTCAAGAAACTTACTCTCTTGGGATAATGGATGGAAAGAAGTTAAAAAACACTCCCTTCCTAAAACACTCCTCAAACTAACAAAAAGAACAAACAAAAACTCCATTGTTTCACATCTAAGTAATTGTGGCATTGCTAAAGCTTATTGGACTGAGGATTCAAAAATTTCTTTGGGAACTTGTTCCAAGATTTAAGTATGTTTTCCAACTTGAGGTTCTTCATTATGTCTAACCAACATTTAAACAGTTTAAGCCCATTTTCTGCATTTCTGTCTGTGGAGAAATGGGAAATGGCGAATCAGCATCCAGAAGACACTTCCCCCATCTACAGACAGAGATCTGGGTCTTCTTTACCTTCAGAACAACCCTCCATGGAAAATATAATCAAATGTGTTATTCGTCTTCTCCCCCACCTCTCCTTTGGGTCACAATCTCATCTATAGCATCCAGTGCTCTCAGAGACAAATGGATGGCTTTAGGGGCAAATTGTTTAAGCAAATGCTGAAAAGAATGGTTCTTACGGAAGCTACACAAATTTTAGGAATACTCAAAATTTGGTACTTAGGATTTATCATTGCCCAGGATACTTAGTATTGCACTTAAAAGTTACTGATTCTGACCACAAACATCTGTTCAGCAGAGGCTGACATGGCATCTGCATTGCTTCTATGGCCAATGAACTCCAGGCACAGGCCAATCAGAGAGCAGTTTCCCCCTTTTCCTAGGCAAGAAGAAAAGAGAGAGCCAAACCAACTGAGTTGCCTTTACATGGTTATAGACTCTGCTTCCAGTTAAATACATTAATAGTGAATTTATTGAATTAGGCAAAGACAAGTATCTCCCAGATCACAGATTTAACTTTGATTCGCCTCAACTCTCACAATACAGAACTGTTCAAGCTTTTTTATATAGAGATGGCCATACAATAGTCTAATTATGCCAACTATCATTTATAAAACAATTATATTCAATATATTTTTAACTTGCTTCTGCATCCTCTAAATACTCTTACATCTCTCCTATCTCATGAAAAACAAAGGTAGGAACATGAACATGATAATCATGGGACCCTTTTACAGAATGGTCACATACAAAGGATATTATGGTAGTTGAGCACCTAGACCAGTGCTATTACTATTAAACTATGTTAGTAATAATTGCTGGTGCTTACTTGATGTGGTTCAATCATGTAACTTCTCTTTATTTATAAAAGAGTTCAATAATCATAAACGCTTTTTGGTGGAGGAAGGGAGAAATATTTATTGTAATCATAATATTGCTAAAAGTAGGTTTCTCTTTGTTTCATTTTCCATCTGCATACACTAGTCAAAGTCTAACCCAAGGAAGGAGAAGGACTTGGGGACAATGAACCTGCAATGAATATGCCTAAATTTGCTGAACGCATGATTCATAACAAGAGAAAAATGTGAACACTAATAAAAATATCAGGATGGAATTCTTTCAGATAGATAGGGCATTCACTGAATACTCTAAATTCATAACCTATTTTACAATCAAAATGCCTATGGTTTTATGAAAGCATGAACAGTTTATGAAGACAGTAAGATGACGAATGAAGAACATTCTTTGCTTTCTATTGGGAACTTTGGTTTGCTTCTAACTGTTTAATTTCTCCTCCATCTCTCTTTCAATTAACCTCCCTGTTTGTATTCAACGAGATGGCACATAATATGGAGAAACAAAAAAAATCTTGCTGATTTATGAGTATTCTTTCATAAAGTGGCAGCTTCTTTCAGTCAAATGCATGTGTTGAAATTGAGAGGAAATGCACAGAACAGTAACTATCCCAAATGAGAAAACGTACAGTAGTTTCCCGGGTTGTTTAATCAGTGGCTCACAAAGGCCTTTTTAAATTGGCCCCCTAGGCACCATTGTGGACATACACACAGGCAGTAAGTAGACAGGGGAAAAGCAATGGGATCTTCGGATGCCAAAATTTGGAATAACTAGTTCTAATAGTATCAAAGAGCAAAACAATGATTTAAAGGTTCTCTACATCTTTTAAAAGGTTCACTTTGAAGATTTATTTTTAAATGAAGCAGGTCCTTTATGTCCACAGTGCTATTCATATGGAGTATAAAAATAACAAAATAAAAATGAAATGATAAACAATGGAATTGTTAACAACCACAGCGAGATATATTAAATTTTAATAAAAAGACCCGCTGCTAACAAAAATCCTGTTTGTTCCCAGACAACTGAAGAGTTGTTCAAGTACAGCTTATCGGTGGGCAATCAACCATGTAACATTGCCAACGTCAGTGAGGACAACAATAGAATGGTTTGTTTAGTAACTGTTGGTTGGCAAGTTAAATCTGCCTATGGATAACCTTATAGTACACTTTCTGGTTTTCCAAGCTATATATTCATATGTTTGTTGTACTTCTTATAGGATACATAGAGTCAAATATGTAACATTTTCCTCCCAGCAAGAATCAATTCACTTCTGACGGAGTATGGGGTGGTGGGGTCACAAAATACGACAGAATATGATTAGAGGCATATCCTTCCTGCCCTGCCGCTGGAATACAGGCATTCCGGGCTTTGGGTATGGAGCTGTTTGGTCACAGGGGTATTGCATTGACCTCTGTATGTCCACAGAAAGATACATAAACTGTGGTTGTCAACTTTTTTTTGCCTCAACATAGTTCACGTGAACCATGGCAGCCATGGCCCTATGAAGCCTCTCTTAAAGAGTAGAGGAGGGAAAGCCATATCAGAATCTGGGGACGAGCACTCTGCAAGTGCGTGAATACGTGTATTTGCAGTTGACCTCAGTAAGAACTATACGTTTCCCCAGTTGTAGGCAGTAAGCTCACATTCAACAAGTGAGACCCCAAGGATGTTTTGCAGGAAGAGTTAACATAACAGGCCTGATCTTTAGAAGTTGGCATGGCTGGCGCTTGGCTGGCATCTGGAAAGTTGGATGTTCCCTACACTGATAAGGTTATTTTGCCCACCCTAGAGCACTTCGGAAAGTCTGGAATTTTGGTGGTTGTGACTGATGAAGGATACCTCTTTGAGCAGCCCCAATAAACACCTTTAACCCTGAGTCTCAAACGGGCCTCCCTGGGCAGAAATGATGCACCCATGTTGATGTATTCCACTGCTAGAGAAAGCAGCGTGCTCCACGTGACCTCCCTGGTGGGAGAGAAGAACATAGGAAGCCTGTGCTTGGATTTCTCCAGATACCCCGTAATGGGTCTTTCTTTTCCCTTTCTGATAACTACAACAGCCATGAGCACAACCACCCTGAGTCCTGTGAGCCCTTCAAGTGGATCACCCCATGTAGGCGTGGTAGCTGGACCCTTGAAACAGATGTCAATAAGATTAGAAAGAACCTTCCTTAAAGTTTTGTAAAGATACAATTGTGACAATTTATAAGATGTATGTGGCTTCAATTTTCCCATAAAAAAATTCCTGGCTAACCAATTCCTGTAAACAAAAAAAGTAAAGTACATAATACTTACAGATGCATTGGAAGAAGAAATCTTTTAAGGTATCAAGAGTGCCCCCAACAGCTTTTGTCAAATTTTACTCCATGGACATAAAACAATGTGGAGAAACACTATACCTCAAATTATGAAATTTTTGCAGGACTGTGCCATTTATAATTAATACTGTAAACTTTCACTGAAGTGAGGTAGAAATTTATTACTTATTTTGTTGTATTTTCTTTAATTAAACCTTTTAATTTCAATGACTCAAATAGTAAAAGCACAGGCACCGAATATCTTGAAAATATGGTATTATATATGTTCTGGATACTTTTGTATCCATGCTAAATACCATTTATGTACTAACATTTCAATATTAAACACCTGGTTGATTGTTTTATTTAACCTACAGATGTTCACGAACATCATCATGTTTTAAGAAGTGTAAAGCATATAAATTTAAGAACAGCTAGACTTGTGTATTTTACTCTACTGTATTTCTTGTGGCACTACACAGGAAAGTCATAAAAAGTCAAAACTCTTTTTTAGAGACTCAAATATATCGACAAGTGCTAAGATGTGTGATTCTGCAAAGTACAGAAGCCAAAAAGGCCACATATTTGGACTCTTTTTCTAAAGTAAAAAATGTTGCTGTTATGCAATGGCAATGGAACACTAAAAACTAAAATCCAATGAAAGCTTATTTATAAGGAAGGAATGAAACCATCTTGATGGGAGTCAATTTCTGTGGCCATCAACAAACAAGGAATAAAAAATTCTCATAACTTCATCCTGTGACAGTTCTAAAAAGAACTGAATTGTCGTTGTAAAATGATAACCTTATTTAAAAAGTAATTCCTTTTTAAGAAAGATGAGTAAAAACTAGTTAGAAGAAATCAGCTTTTCCAAGTTGAAGGACAGCCAGCAACGTGAGCTCATTAACTGTGTGTGGAGGATAGATACAGAAGGGCAGCGGGCCTACCGATGGTGCAGTGCTCTCCGTTCCATCCCTGGCTACATTCACACTTGCCGTCCTTGCAGGTCCCGTGTTCAGCACAGCGGGGGTGGCAGGCTCGTTGATTACATGCTGGGCCCGTCCAGCCTTCTTCACAGCGACAAGTGCCCCCCATGCAAACGCCATGTGAGCCACAGTCCACGGAACATATTTCTACATTGGAAAAAAGAGGCAGAGCAGGAGACAAGAGCAGCGGGGAGTGAGAACGGGAATTACTGAGCAGTGCTACAGCTTAAACTCAAGTTTGTTAAGGTGGAAAACAAAATCACTGAAAATCAATAAAAAATATTTATATACTAAGTAAATTTCAGCATCGACTACTAAGAGTTATAAATGGCAGAAGTTTTTTTATTCATCATTTAATTTTATACGCTGCTGTAATTGTACATAAGATACACATGACAATTGTTATAGTTTCCTATATTATACACACATACACACACACATACACACACACACACACAGGGGCTACTAACAAAACAAAACACATGATTCATAACAAGAGGAAAATATATACGCACACACATATATATATCTGAGAGCATCTTCTGACAGCCAAGAATACATGCACACATACACACACATAAAATTAATGAAATATTTCAATGTCTAAGCATCGCAGGTATCTAACAGGAGTTGGGTTTCGCCCCTATGGCAAGAATTGAAAAGGGGTTATTTCTAATCCCGCAGGTTAAATTTTTAAAATATTCAGAAACTTTCATTAAAAAGAATCTAATATAGGGCCCGGCCCAGTGGCGCAAGCGGTTAAGTGTGTGCGCTCCGCTGTGGCGGCTGGGGTTTGCCAGTTGGGATCCTGGGCGCGCACCGACGCACCGCTTGGCAAGCCATGCTGTGGCAGCGTCCCATATAGAGTGGAGGAAGATGGGCACAGATATTAGCCCAGGGCCAGTCTTCCTCAGCAAAAAAAGAGGAGGATTGGCAGATGTTAGCACAGGGCTGATCTTCCTCATACACACACAAAAACGAATCTATTATAGTCTGCACATTAGTTTGCTTCTGACACACAGACACGCTGGTGAAATAAAAGAATTGTCATTTTTCCTATTCAGTAAATTCGTACTCTTGACTGATACAAGTTGCTTAGTAAAACAATAGTAGGAAACCAGTTTAACATTATGTATAACTATTGATTCTGTCATTTGAAAAATAAGGTTTTTCAACTACTAGAATTACTGAAAGGAGCACAAGTGACCAAAGTTCTTCAAACACTGTAACCATAGGTTAGGTCTTTACAAAGAATTCAGGTGTCTGAGTAATTTTTTTTCCTAAAAAACCTCTCTTAAAAGCTTTATTTAACTAGATCCAATTGAAAGAGAGAGACAGAGAGAGAACATTGCAAGGTATTTTATTTTTTACTTTTTACATGTAAAGTTAAATAAAATTAACTATCTCTTTTTTCTAAGATTGTAAGACTATTGTTGAGTTTTGGTTTTCTTGCAAAAATAAAAATGCTGAACAATAAACACCTAAAATCATTTTTTTTTTTTTTCCGCTGAGAAAGATTTGCCCTGAGCTAACATCCATTACCAATCTTCCTCTTTTTTTCCCTCCTTTGTATGTGAGCCACCGCCACAGCATGGGTGCTGACAGATGAATGGTGTAGGTCCACAAGCAGAAACTGAACCTGGGCTGCCGAAGTGGAGCGCGCTGAACTTAACCACTAAGCCACTGCGGCTGGCCCTAAAATCATTTTTAAGAAACAGAAAAGGGACTACAGCCTTATTTTTAAATTAAAAAATAGTAACTGTTGATGTAGTCACATGCTCCTATTCCCCGCATTCATTGCCCAAATGACATTTCTCAAACTCCACAATTCCCTGCCTCACGGTGTGGAAAACTTGAAACACCCTATCAAGGCCCTACTGTTGTAACATTTCTTATAAACAACAGCTGGGACTATTAACTGGAAGAGAGTGGTATGTGCTTTTTTAGGCCACGTTTTCTATCTCATTTGAATTAAATGTTTGATTAAGAGATCCAAGATGGTTTGATTAACTTCTCTGCAACAGAACGTCAACTTTGCTGCAGAATGGAGAGGTTTCTTTAGGAGGCCCCTTTTTATTCAAGCTAATCAATTTTTCATTAGGGTGAAGGTGTTTATCAGCATTTAGCACACTGGCTTTGAGCAAGGTGCGTCAATCTTTGTAATGAACTTATTAATTAGAGTTAATTTAATTGAAGTGGAATTGAAGGGCTAATTAATGGACGAACTGCTGATGAAGATAGAGGAAAACTCTGTTGCTTCCTAACCTATAAACTTTCTGATGGAAAGAATTCATTGCTTCTCTTTTAGCAGCTTAGCCAAATGTTTCTTCAGGTGTAAAATCCACTCCTTATTGAATTTAGATATCTGAAGGTCAATTCCACAACAACAAAAGAGCCAGCTGGTAAAGTGTTTTGCTTTAGCATTCAGTTAGACAGAAATTCAGAATTATACTGCTGGTAAACTTCAAGTCACAAAAGTAAATGAACAACGTTTTTGTGGACTTTAAATGAGAGCTGTGCACCATGCAGATAAATTTGAGGTGCATGAACCCAGACATTTTCATGGGATGAATATATGCATATTTGAGATCTTTACTAATAATTCTAAGTAAGTTTTCTGTTTTTTTGCAGCTAATAGCAAAGTTTAATAAAGTTTTTTTCTGTGCTGAATTACTTTCTTCCAAAGAAGAGTACTGTATTCATTATTCAACTCCATACACTGAGAGTTTAATATATGTTAAGTTTCTGTTTTCCACTGGGGATAAAAAGATGAATAGGATGAAGATCTTCACTTACTATGTCTAAACAGTCATTTCGTATACAAGTAAAATTAGATTTTCAACTAGCAAAATAATTACATCAGCATGAAAAAAAATCTGTCAAAATCTGTAAAATAAATGTGATTTTGGCAGCCAATTTCATATTTTAATTAACATTTATATCTTTTTTTGCTATTCAAAGCAATATCATTTTATGAAGAAGACTGAATTGCCTTTGGAGCTATTTACTATCAATTACAAACTATCCTTTATAAAATAATTCAGGTCATGTATTAAATAACTTTATATGAAACAGAAAGGGGCTATTTCACTATTCCTTTCCTACTCAGATAATTGTGGGAAACAAATTAGAACGACAGTATTTCAAATAAGTATTATTTTATAGCTAGTATTATTATGTCCACTTTACTGACGGAGGCATAAGAGACCTGAACCAAATAGCTTTACTATACAAGTAATTACAAGTTTAATCCACAAACTTTAAAAGGATTTTTTTTTTGAGATGCACTTTTTAGTATAGAAGATGAAAATGTAAATAAAAACTCAACAGAAAAAACTAAATACCTATTTTGATTCTTATAAAATATATTTTTAAGAATGGAGAACAAAACAAGTTAATGTATTATTTAAAATAACGCCACGCACTCATGCTTGATAAATGTTGGTTGGTCATGATTTCCTAAATCTCTTTAACGAGACATTCAAGGCCCTCTATCATCCAGCCCCCAATTTATGTTTTTACTCTTATTTATCCCATACATGTTATTTGCTCCAGAAGTCATGCATTTTCTAACAAAAGTTTCTGGTTCTGCAAGCTATCTGAATCAACTAATATTTCTGTGAAGCAGTAACACACTTATTATAAACCTTGTCTGCCTCCAAAAATGTATGGCCAAAAGACAAGGGAGGTAGAGGGAAAGGAAGGGAGGAGAGAAGGAAGGAAGGAAGGAGAGAGGGAAGGAAGGAAAGGATGTGAAGAAGGAAGGAAGGGAGGGAGGCAGGGGTGGGGAGAAGAAAGGAAGGAAGGAAGGCAGCAAGAAAGAAAACTCGTATGTTGTCTCTCTAACTAGGACACCTACTTATGGTTCAACAGAAGTTTTTCATCAATACTACAAATTAGCCTATATAAAACTTTCTTTAGTTTGGGCCTCCAGGATTCAATTTGCAGTAGGTAAAGAGTGGCACATAAATCTGTCTTGCAGATATTGATTCACAGGGGAGCAGGCATGTCACTCAAGTTTCTCAAAATGCCAAGAAAGAGTGATTTGTAAAAATTCCTAGTCTTTTTTTCTTAAAATAAGCATGTTAATTAGCTACCTAGGAAGATTTCATTTAGGTTTATGGCATTGGGCTATACTAATAGATGAAATTATTTGCATTTCACAAATTTCACATTTGGGGAACCATATCCAATCAATACTGTCATGTGGAAGCTCCTCTGAATTGATGAGGAATTAAGTATGACAAACTACAATCAGCCTTTAGAATTCTACTACCATAACTGTGACTATCACCGCCCCACTGCTACTTTTATTAATGGTTAATACTCATTGAGTACTTACTATGTGTAAGGCACCATTCTAAGTGCTTTTCATATATTAACTCATTTACTCCTTACGACAATTGTACAAGGTAGCACTATTATTATCCCCATTTTACAGATAAAGAAACTGAGGCACAGAGAAGTTAAATAACTTGCCCAACATCATACAGGATGTTGTATGATGGGAATGGCCAGTCCAAGATCTGAAGCCAGGCAGGTCAGCTCCAGAATCTCTCCAGTAAATGAACACTTACTGTTAAAACAAGGGGTTCAGAGAAGAGGGTAATCACGCAGTGTGGGCAGGATTAACAGGGGACAGACTCCTTCACTGAATCTAAACTTTATGCAGAAGTCTATTTACTTAACACTGCTAATAAAATCTGTCCTTTTCCTTTCTTTCTTCCTCCTCCTCCTTCCTCTCTCTCTTCTTCCTGTTTCCCCTCCTCCTCCACTTTTTCTTTTCCTCCCTCTTCTCATTCTTCTTCTTCTTTTCTATTATTTTTGCTCAGATGGTTTGAGTCTCCAAACAGAATTCAGCCTTTTCTCTATTTCCCACTTACCCTCCCACTGCCTCCCCTACATCCCGGCTGCTCGCTGAGCCTCACCCCTTCCCCACTAACTTACCTCATTCAGAGACATGAACACGAAACCCAGTCTCCCTTGTTTCAGACTTTCAGCTCTTCTCAACAACTTCTATATTCTGTTTTTCCACAAGTCCTGTCTATTTTTCCTTTAAAATGTCCCTCAGATTCATCCTTTTCATTTCTGCTAACTCCAAACTAATTCACGCTCTCATCACTTCACACTTCTGGGAAAGCTCTCTACCGTCTTCCAGTTGTCAGTCTCGTTGGTCACACTCTGACATATAATCCATACGACAGTTCTCTGAAAACACTATTCTCATCATGTTAGTGGGCACACCATTATTATTAGTGAATTCTCCATTATCTAAACCGTCATTTCTAAACTGTGTCCCCCATAATTGGGCTCAACCTAATTTTTAACTCTAAATACTTTTTCTTCACTGTCTCATGTATATAATGATATTCTCACAGTTGTATCTTTGCTAATCGTAGTAGTGGTGGTGGTGGCAGCTACATTTAGGATTTATTATGAGCTAGGCATTGTACTAAGTACGTTATAAGCATTAATTTAAGTAATTCCCACAACATCTCTGTGAAGAATGTCTTATGATTAAACCCATTTTATAGATGAGTAAACTGAAGCATATAGTAATTTGCCTAAGGCTACACAGCTATTAAGTAGTAGAGATCGGATATGAACCCAAGCAGCTGATTTCAGAGTCCATGCTCTTAAGTACTTTTTAATACTGTTCCTCTAGTCAAAAAATGTCGCCCCTCCCACCCCCACATTAACTGCAATCTTGAAAAGAAGGCAAGAAATGTTCATAAGTCTCTTTGAAAACTTTCAATATGTATCAAAGCACAGTCACTCCTCTGAATGTCGACTGAATTTATCATATCACCTATTATTCCATGTAACACTCAATAAAGTGTCAAACTGGAATGTATTAGTTTCTAAGTATTTCATGTGGGTTCAGCTTATCTTCCCAATTAAACTGTAATCTTCTAGACTAGAACAGCATCTTTTCAAACTGCGTGACTAATGAGTGGACCCCAGAATGATTTCATGGGTTGCAACTAGCATTTAAAAAAACAGAATAGACTTGAAAAGAAGTACCAGTGAGCATCACTTTGCAAAGCTTTTGTTGAGGTACATGAGTATATGCAACGTACATGTATACCAGGTCACAAGGTAAAAACATATTTAGGACTGTAGGTCATTTAGGTCATGGTCAAAAAATTTGAAGGCCACTATTCTAGAGGGCAGGAATGATTCATTATTCTTTCATCCCTACAGGGCCCATCACAATGCCTTGCACAGAGTTGGTGCTCAATAACAACTTGACTGATTGAATAAAATTACTACTTGCCATTTCTATTATAATCATATTAGTATAATTACAAACTCAGTGTTGAACCATTATATGCATCATAATATCTATATATGTATACTCTTTATTGTGATCATGTTTAGCTTTATGTTGTCAAATAATTTTATTTTTTTTTTGTGAGGAAGATCAGCCCTGAGCTAACATCTGCGCCCATCTTCCTCTACTTTATATGGGACGCTGCCACAGCATGGCGTGACAAGCAGTGCATCGGTGCACGCCCGGGATCCGAACCCGCGAACCCTGGGCCGCCGAAGCGGAGTGCGTGCACTTAACCGCTTGTGCCACCGGCCGGCCCCTCAAATAATTTTTTAATTGAGGCTTCTTTATTTATGAGATAATGTGCTTAAATTCCCAAGCTGTACACAGGCCTTGAGAGTTAAGAAGACCAAATGTTTTACACAAACAAAAGATTATTCTTTACAATAAGGAGAAATTTTAATGACAAATTGACTAAGCCTGTTTCTTTCTTTTTAATAAGACAACGAAATTTCATGACTTTTAATACTTACTTCTATAAATAATCACTTTAATAAAATCTATATTAAATTTAGTAAGTGTGCTTTAAAAATTAAAATATCTTAATCTTTAGCTAAATAATATTAGGCGCTCAATTGAACTGCATTTATTAACCTCACCATTTGAGCAGTCTGGGCCAGTCCAATTAGGGTCACAAGTGCAGGAGCCACTTTCTTGAAGATACGTTCCATGACCAGAGCACTGGTCTGGACACATGGTCTTCAGTATTTCACAATTGTTACCACCCCATCCTGGATTGCAGTGACATTCCCCATGGATACACACACCATGATTAGAACATCCAGGGTCGAGGCAGTCAGCTAGTGTAAAGAAAGAAGAACAATTTTATGATTAAATCTACAAGACATCATACACAGTACATGTCGAATAAAGAATTAAATCCTAGTCTAATTTATATGAACATTTTGGATACTCAAACATTTATCTACCATTTTCAAGAACTTGTTTCTGAAAACACAAAGAATTATACAATAAAGCATTAAGAATCATGCCATTAGGTAACTGAGACTCTTGTAAGGATTTGTAATTTTCATGAACTATACACATAGGCTCTTGAGATTCAAGACTAGTGCTCTCTGTTCTGCCTAATCCGAGAGTAATAAGCATTGGCTTCTCTATAACAAAATCTGTATCAGCTGACCTAACCCACAACCGTTGAGTACTGACAGCTGTATGGGACCCTTAAATTGTTTGAGAAATAAATAAGTTGCATACTCTCTATCCTTTGTAATTCACTTTAATGTGCTTTAGATGACGAGATTTAATTTAGCAATTTGACTCAATAAAACTTTACACTTGTAGGGTCAATGGCCTGAAAATTTAATTCCAGAGACTTAATTGCATTACTTTGTGTGTGCAGATCAATAAAATCAATTTGATTGAAGAAGAGAAATAGCCCTTTTCTGCTTTTTGAAAAAACAATTCAACTGCACTTTACAGTATAGCATCTTGACTATGATCATCATATACAGTTTTGGAACAAACCATGATGTCATACTTTTTTCATTAGTATATTATGTTCAATATTCTGTCTATCTAGAGATGCTAAAATTCCAGATTTAGAAGCTGCCATCAATGTGGAAGACTGTACAAAAAAAAAAATCAAGTTCATTGTTGGTTTCAAGACACAAATGTTTGCTTACTTCTCAGAGGGAAAAAAGAATTATCCACACTACTGAAAAAAGGCAAAGGGTCTCTTTGGTCTTTGTTCTTTATATTAGTTTAAATGTTAATAGAACAATGCCTTCATAAATATGGAAATCAAAATTACTTTCATAAGGAGGCATATAAAAAGATTCATCTGCCAAACTAAAGATTACAAACATAATCTGTTTCTTTATGAGGATAACAATAGACTTCTGTAAATATTGACATGTTTACCTTCTTCACAGTTTTCTCCTTTGTATCCCGAGTTGCAAGCACAAGAGCCCATGATACAAATCCCACGACCCCCGCACTGGGGGTCAATACACTGGGTAGTCGGCACGTCACACTCAGTGCCCTTCCAGCCACTGAAACAGAGGCAGCGGCCCTTGGAGTACTGCCCATTGCCACTACACAGCACTGGACAGGCTGCTGTGAAATAAAACACGACACAAGAATTAACAGCCACTTTTTCAGTTGAGATCCTGAAAGAAAAGACACATTGTTGGAACAAGCGGTAGGCCAGTTTTTCCTCCTTTCTTTCCTGTCTGTCCTGGTAGTTTTCTGAATTACTCGTGTTCCTACAGCTTATTTATATTGGCTTAGGAAAAGAATCTAACTCGCATACCTCTTGAACAATCTGGACCTAGAAATCCCGGAAAACAATGGCAAGTTCCAGAAACACACTCTCCATTTCCATGGCAATTTCGGGGGCATTCCACCACAGACTCTGAAGAAAAGAGAAAGAAGCAATACTTGTTGTAGAGCCTGCCTCTTGCACAAGGCAAACTCTTTGATCATTTTAGCCACTTGTTGAAGGAAATAGGGATGGCTTGCTCCATAACCAAAAAAGGACCCATTTATACTACAGTATTCAAGCAGTAAAGCAAAGCATTGCCATTTCAAATGCAGATTTTTTAAGTGTTTTCATCATGCACTCTCCTCCTCTGAGATACTTCCAAATAATATTTTCTTCCACTGCTTCATGGTTTGTCACATATTCACGAGTAAACAATTTAAAAATATCTCTCACATTTTGCCTCAGGCTTTCACACCCTAGAAAATCACTCAAAATTGGTGAAGACAATTTAATTTCTATTCAACACAGTGTTCAGGCTGTAGCCTGGAAAAAGATGCTTTCAAGACTGTTCTTACCTATAACAATGGTATTAAAAGACACCTGCTCCACATTTTTCCCATCATTATAAAAAGCCAGATGCCAGATTCCGGAATCCAAGTACTGGATGAAGCCAGCCTCGTGAAGACTGACGGATCTCGCCTGGCGCCCGGCTCTTTCGGACTCAAGCAGGTTCCGCTGCTCTCTTGCAATCAACCTGCTGCCATCCAGGAGCTCGACAAAGTCGTACTGAGGATGAGGACAAGTGAAACTGCTTAGTAGTCAGAAATATTACGGTTGCGGCTGCTTCTCTCTTTTCTTTTCTTCTTCAAACTTTTCTCCTTTGCTCTAATAAATACAATGTTAGAAAACAGTTCCTGATTGACAGGTCTTCCATGCAGAGCATTTACAGGGACGATGAAAACTACCTACTGCACACCGTTGCTGTATGTAAGCTTCACAGATCATGTTTTCCCTTACTGGGCATTATGGTTTCCAAATCTATTTAATTCTCCTGACTGATGGAAAGTTTGATGAGTTTCGGCAGTTTGGGGATACAAACATAAATCTAACATTCCAAACCCAGCAGCCTTATTTTAGTTAGACCACTAGATAATCTCTTAAGGTCTTCTCCTCCTACTGAATACTCATGTAGTAACAACCACTAGTGAATACTTACTCTATTTTTGGATTATTTTTGATCCTCATAGCAACTCTTCTAGGCAGGCATTTATATTTACACTTTAAAGACGAAGGAAATGGAAGCCTGAGGAGCTTGGGCAGGGTTGTGGTGGAGCTGGTACGTGAACTCAAGGGCACTTGGCTCCAGATCTTGGGATGTCTCCACCACCCATGTTACCCTCCCTGCAACCCTGATGTAACCAGCCCCAGCACCATGGAGAACTCCATGGGTTTCTAACTTAGCTACGGTTAGATTAAAAACATGTAACAAGATGCCTTCACACCTTTGATCAAAAGTCTAAACAATTAAACAATGGAGGGCTTGTGAAAGCATGGCAATAACAGTAAATATGCCCCATTATTATTATGAAGTCGGTCATCATTAAACTTAATTTTTGTTTTAGTAAGATTAATCTTGAACACTGGGTAGCTAAAAAGAATTTAACTGGAAAATTTAAAGATAATTAAAACTATGGAATGTGACTGGTAATAGTGGGACAAAATTCTGCAACTAGAGAGAATGCAGTGAATTTGGAAGACACTGCAGAGACTTTCCAAGGTAGTTTTAATAAAGTTGTTAGATAACAGTTTCTTAAAAGCAGAGTGATTGAGTTTCTGTATACTCTTACCCAGTTTCATTTTACTCCTGAGGTATGTGTTTACGGTGAAAGTATACTACAGTACTATATATATATTAATCATTAATGTTACAGTACTATACATGTGAATGATCAATATTCTACTTTCTAATAGATTCCTTAAATGGAATTTCATCAGGGATCTATTTAAGGAAAAGTTTATTATAGGAATCCCTTAATATGATCAAATTGGAATAAATCAGTTGTTGGTATTCTGAGAAGGACAGTTAAATACGTTGCCACCATACTGATTGCAAACCTCTACTGTCACTATTGGACAGAATTTAGAATATCTAATTCAGTTTCCAACATATTAAAATTTTTATTTAAATATAAAAGCATTTTTTGTGTAGTAAAACTGCATTATAACATCATTCAGCTGAGAGAAATACACAAAAAAGCTATAACCTGATTAGCATTCAAAAATTTTTTTTCATTTCTATCTTAGAAGGATGAAAATAATGACTAGTGTGGATATTTGACCTGCAAAAATTTCACTGGAATTGTATTTCAAAATTATCAGAGGAAAATTAATTCGGCACTTTTGAAAGGTGTCCCTATCTCAAATAAGCCATTCATTTTCTCATCAGATTCAAACATTTGTATTAGCATGGCAAAGAGACAGAAAAAAGTTTCTTTTTATGGTCCTATTGCATATAAACATTTTTCTCCTCTGACATTAAACACAGTAACTGAAAAATTGAAAAGAGAGGCAATGTTGAGTTTTAACTGGTCTTTCAAACCCATACTCATAATCATCACCTTTATCATAGAAATCACCATTTGAATCATACTATGAACAATAAAATAAGGCTGGGGTGGTGGGCATGATGGTGGTGGAGGGGAGTAAGCAGACAGCTGTTGAGTATCTACTCAGTTCTAGGCTCTTCTGTAGGGGCATTTCACACACGACTTCAGGAGGGTTATTCAAATACCTAAAGACAAGTTCCGTACTTAATGCTAAAACCATCTCTAAAAAAAGTAAATTATATGGGATATAAATATTTAGTAACCTTTGTTCCTAGGGTGTAAAGTAATCACTTATAGGCAAACTTGAGTTAACTTGAGTTTTGTTTTGTAACACTTATTCATAAGTACTAAGTGGGAGCCAGCCTTAGGATCTTGTGCTATTTTTAGGATGAAGTTCAGTCTCCCTACTTGGGGGAAGCTATCACGAGACAAAGGTTAAACTTGATAAAGGCATCTTGGTGGTTCATTTCTGAACAGTTAGACTATCCATATGCTTAACTCAATTCAGTTATTACAATGATGAGAACTCAATCTATAAACACTGAACTGTGTTTTAAAATCAACTTTTTGGTGGTGGCATCATCTCACTGTAAATCATTGGAATATAGAGGAGGAAGAGATTTTATGGATCATCCGATCCAACTCTTTCATTTTACAGATAGACACTGAGGTGCAGAGAAGTTAAGTGATTTGTTCAAGGTCACAAGGTTAAAAAGAGATAGGGGTGTGTGCCTAGAACCCAGGCTTCTACTCCCATTCTAAAACAGGCTTCATGCAAATGCACTCAAGTGATACGGTACACTGTTAACTGTAGAGTGTTAAATTGCTTCCTTAGGCTTCTAACTGTCCAGGAGAATGAATTGGGCATCAGGGAGAAGAAAGTCAATTGATTCCTTGGCAACAATCAAACGGACAGTTTTATAAAGGGTCACAAAGACTTTCAAAACTCAAGTGACTATTCTGAATGGCTGGCCAATTTTAATTATTTCAGGTTGATTTATTTAACGTTCCCCAGAAACAGAGAAATGTTCAATTTGGGCGGCTTTATAGCATGTTTCATATTTAAACACTGAACTCCGAAACAGTTGTTTGCTCGGCTGATCTTGAATAAACCAGACTAAGGAACTCTAATAACTGTGGAGCTTAAGAAAATGCGTAACCTACTTAAATACATATATTGTGGTAGAAAAGAAAAGTGGATATCATGTATATTGTGTTTAAATACCAGAAGAATTATGAGAAAACCTGAAACTGCACCTTTAATTTCCCTAATCTTATATAGTATTATAACTTGCAAAGAGTCAACCTTAAATCTTTAAATAAACCTTTAAAGTATATAACACATTAGACAATTTTTTTCTGAAATTATTTTTTGGAATTTACTTTATAGGTTACATGCTCACTGTTGTGCTTAGCTTAGAGGTATATTTCTTGAATTATACAAAAATAATTTAATCATATAAGTGGTTCCAATGGAAAAAATATTTTTTCCTATTTCACTGGACTATGCTATAAATTCAATCTATCTGCTATAATTAAAGTTACAGAAGCCCACTTCCATTTAAGAGAATCTGGTTATTACATCCTAGACAGTGTCACCTATAACATGACCTGGAGTCAAACATAATTATAATCTAAAATTTAAAATTGGACATTGGTACACAGTAAAAAGTATTTGAAATGTAAGGATTAATCATATTTACTTTAATAATCTAGATATGAAAAATGTTAAATCAAAAAAACGAATACACCAAAGCATGATATTCAAACATTTCATAACTATGTAATTTATAATCTGAAAACTTCCTGATCCACAATGACATTAGAGAGAGCATGTTCAAATTTTCTTACTCATCTTTCTTTAAAGATGATTTTTTATTAGTATATGATCAGTTTTTCTTTATAATTTATATTCTTAGGTTATAGAAAGAACATTTCTCACAAAATTACATAATACAAAAAAGCATACATGAAAACCCTCCAGTTATCATTTTATCAATCAAATTAAAACCAGCATGAAATTCCATGGGTAAATAAACTGATTATCAAGTATAACTTTAAGCTCATCCAATTGTCAATTTTAATTAACCATCTATCATATTTTTTGAATTTCTGTATTCACTAACACAATAGTTGATCTTGGGAAAAGTCTAAGCTCCAATTTTATGGTAGGTAATTTAAATAATTTCTCTTAGACATAATGGGACCTCTTTTAAATGACAATTTCCAGTTTATACACCATGACCCAGTATTAGATTATGAAAAAGCCTGTGGAATTATTGATAGCGGCTCTCTATCTGTGACTGTTATTGTGAGGTGATTTTCATGCAAGCAAAATGACTTTAAAGTTCTTTGAATCTATAATATAAGGATATTTGAATTGTTTTGAGTACCACACTAACGAATTCATCCTTGGTTATCAGTGAAAGCTCTCTGCCTCTTTATTTCAGTGGTCATCATTTGTAGATGAGGAATCGTGGCTTGAGCTGATAAAGTTCATGTCACCATATTTATGTTTATGTCCCCATAATTTCTTTACTGAGTAAATCTGGCATTGAGTAAAAAAATATATAACACCTTTTCAATAGAATGAATACATGTTTGAGAGGAAAGTGTGATACATCTATTACACGAAAGGAATAAGACCATCTGAAATTATCATAGAATCTTTGTAAAACACTTGAAAATCCATGGTGTTTTATAAGGTGCTCAGATGATGTTCAATATGCATTAAGTTACTTACAAATTTTAGTACATATTAATCAATCAATAATGATTAAAGCAAATCGGGAAGAAAATGCTATTCTTCCCACTAATTCAAAAACTTCAAGATAAGTGTAATCTACATTCAAAATTCTTTTCACTGTAAAACATCAATACAAAAGTGGTCAAAGAGTTAAACAGCTGAATTTAAGAAACAGAATAACTTTAAAAATGCAAACTAGCAGTTTTCATTTTATTGACAACAAAGCCTACTTTTACCTGAGTATGGGAAGGTGGTAAGCCTTTTCGGCCATATACTCCAATCAATGCATCCTTCTGAAGAGAGATATTGAATTTAAGAAACTGTGGCTGATCAATAAAGAGCTGTGATCTCCAGAAGATCCCAGGAGGAACCTCTTGAATCGCTCTTCGGCCAATATCAAGTTCTCCGGAATCTATGGTGTTATTTTCTTGTGTAAATCCACCTAATTTTCCTGAATGTAAGAGATCCATTGAAGAAAAATAAAAAATTAAAACAAAATAAAACAAAACAGCTTTCCTTGCAAAAAAGTTCTTTTCACCAAATGCTCAGACATTTCATCGTCTTCTGAAAAATGAAATGCTCTCATCTAATTTTCACTTGAAAAGCTTTTTTGTTAGATATTGCTGTTCAACTAATTCTGATTTAGCACATTCTTTAGCATATTTAAGTCAAAATTCTTTGCCTTCCCTTAGGTATGCCTATTACTGAAACTGTTTTCACACCTACAGTCTTTCTTGATCACTTGAAACATAATTATCTTACAAATTATATGTCTTGTTATTTCTTGGTAGAGAAAGTCTGGTACGTATCAGTCATTCTAAACATACTGTAACACTGCAAAAGTGTAAATTAAGGCAGAATAGATTATGTAGATTTCCAAATCAATCCTTAAGCAAACATAAAACCAGTCAATGGCACTGATTCACGTAGTTCTCTCTAAACTATATACTAGAATGAATGAAAAACCAGATGCTGGAAGGGTGGCAGAGAAGGGGGAGTGGGGACATTATGAGGGGAAGGGAAGAAGGGGTAACTTTAAATTCTCACAAAGTTTTTGATGTAGGCTGCCACAACTTTTCCTCTTTCTTTTGACCTTCTTCTCAAATTCACTTTCAGCCTTAGCAGGCACCCTTGAATTACCCCTCTCAATGACCTTCAACGTGCAGCAACAAAGACTGCTCCCTGGATCTCTGCCACCTCTTGGAGTCCATCTCCTTTCTTTGTGCAAGCCCTGGTTTTAGGAAACAGATCCAAGACTCCTCTAGTATGGTGTTCCCCTTCCCTCTTTGCTAAGGTTCCTTCTCAGTTATTCTGAGGGGGTTAGTGACAGACGAGGTTTTATAATTTGCCTTAAATGGACGTAAAACCACTTTGTCTCTTATTCAGAAAGGGTCCATGAAAGCTAAGGAAGAGAATGAAACTGGGGCCAAATGATCCTCTATCAACTCAATCTTCTTAAAGTCTGAAAGCTGACTTACTACAAAGTGTGGTTTTTTAAACATTAACCTGAATATTAATTCTGATATTACGTAATATTATATAATAGCCTCTAGAGAAGTTGATAGTTCAAAATTTAGAGGACTTAATTTCAAATCAGAGAGTTGTAAATCATCTTATTTTAATGACCAAGGAGAGCGTCTTCTATCTATGAAGAGTTATTAACTTAACATTGAGTTCATTTTTGAGTGTTTACTAGGGACATAGAACTGTAGGTGATAAGATGAAATATAAACCAAAGAATAGAATCTTAGAGATTATCTACTCTGGCTTCCACGGCTTCTGCCATTAAGCAATTAATTACATGACTGGGAAGACAACACCTATAAACCAATAAATTAAATGACAATCTAAAGCAACATACTGGTAAGGGTCAGAGGAAGTGATATTCCTGTAGCTGGTGTTTGAAAGACCTCACAGAAGAGGTAAGTTCTGAAGTAAACTTTGAAGGACAGGTAGGATAAGGTTTGTGAGCTAGGGTAAACATCATGATTAAAAACATGGCAGCGGAACTGGACATGTTAGAGTGATGGTGAGCAGAGAGATCCATCTGGCTAGAAAAGAAGTTGAGAACACTGGGTTTGGAATCAGACAAACCTGGGTTTGAGTCTTGGCTCTGTCAGTAACTAGCTGTGTGACCTGAAGGAATATACTAAACCTCTGATACTAAACCTCATCTGTAAAATGGGGATAGTAATAATGCAATCACAGGACTATTGTGAGGATTACACGAGGCATTCTACATAACGGGCTTGGCTCTCAGTAGGTATTGAATGAATGGGAGACATTAACTGGTTTGTCATGGGAGTAATGGGAGATCAAGTTGGAAAGGGAGAATGATATCAATTTGTGGAGAGCCTTGAAGGCCAGGTTAAAGAATTTGGTCTTTATACTTCATCTTAGTGATTTTTTTTGTATTTTGTACTTTCAACTTCATAAATAGCATTATTCTACCCTTTTTCCTTAAGATGTATATAGTTATTAGTATTATGTTACTATGCATATAATTTATGGCATGTTTTAAAAATAGACACTTGAAGTAGACTTAACAAGGGTAAATTGTATTTCAATGCCACAAAGGCACTTACTTGTTCCTCTGTTTTGTGTGTGTGTGTGTGTGTGTGTGTGTGTGTGTGTGTGTAATCAGGACAAACAGAATTCAAGATTACTAAGGAACACGCCTCGTGGTCACAGATGAGTATGGCAGATATTCAGGTTATGGCCTTTAGGGTCTAGAGTAATTCACAACAAATTCACACTTACAGATAAATGTGAAGTTTGAGGGAGAGTATATTACTAGTAAATGTCGGGATTGTTTTCTACCTGGACTGCTGCATCCCACAATGATACATATACCATTAGTTACAAAGGACACCTGTAGCTAAATGGAAACTCATTCAAGGTTCTGATCAGGCCATAGGTGAAATGAAGTCATTGTTTCAAGGACATTAAAGTGCAGTAGTGTGGGAAGCCTGGGAGTGGAGAGACTGGTTAGGATACAGATGCAATAACCCAAGTATGAGGCAGAAGGGGGCTGTCCAAGTAAGCTTGATAAAAATACATTATTTATAATCTCACTTCCTCTTCTTTTTTTCCCTGATATCCATAATCAAGGCTATTAACAACGCTTCAGGTATCAGGTCTATTTTTCTTGAATTAATTTAGTAATATAAAATGCTCTGGGGAATAAAAGATCAAAATTGCGTTATACTAATCATTGTAATTTTTCATGTATCAATACATAAACTGTGCATCATTCATTAAAATTTTAAATATTTATTTTATGATAGTAATACATATTCATTTTAGCAAAATTAGAACATATATATAAACAAAAAGATAAAAAACATAATCCTACCACCCAGAGATTATTTTTGCTTCTGATCTAACCAGACATCTTTCTTCATTCATAGAAAAATTTTAAACACCTGAGACCAATTTCTACTTTTCATTTTGGATGCTTCTGCACAGGCATCTATATTTGTCATCAATTACCTGTCACTGAAAAGGTTAAGGAAGGTGAAAAAGAGAAATGGAACTAACCTTCACTGAGAACCTATGACATGCCAGGTAGTTTCACCTATATTATCTGTTTTAAGTTTCAAAACAACTCTGTGAGGTCAATATTATTTGGAGATGAGGAAACTAAGGCTCAGAGAAGTAAATTATGTGCCCAAAGGGAGTGGTAGAGTCAAGATTCAAATCTAGGTCTGCAAAATTCCAAAACGATGTCTTTTATATAATCATAGTATAATCTTTGTTTTTCATTAAAAATATTATTTTAAATTACTAAGTTTTAAATTTGTCTATCTCATATAAAATCAGATATCGTAACCCATTGAACCACCTTAGAGAATCAGCTTAGCTTTCAATTTTAGACATAAAGTTATACTTATCTTTATTAGGAAGAAATGACCAGTAAAAACTGCCATGGATACTCTAACCTAATAGTTTTTGTGTTATAATTTATAATAAATTCCTAATAAGTTTTTGTCTTTTGGTTGACTTCCACATGAAACTATTTTTACAATACTGAATAAAGTAGCAGTCTTTTTTCCCATGAAACTCTATTAGTAACATATCATATTCAAATACGGAAATGATTCATATTTAGACTCACTCACCAAGTTCATACATTTCTAAGCTATTATACTTTATTGTTATTAACAAGTTCTGATAGTATCTGAAGCTTATGTGATTTAATATGCTCTTGGTTTTGATCTTATCTCTTGCAGCTATAAATGATTTTTAGCAGCTTTAAAGCATTCCTGTGCTTTGAGAGTTGGTAAGCATAAACTGGTGCTAATTCCAGAATTTTTTTTCCCAAAACATCAGCTTTGCCCAAGAGCATTAGTTTTGGAAACAGTAATCAACTTCCGGCTTCTAAGGTTTCAGGTTTTGCTTTGTTGCTTTCTCCATATAATGATTTTGAGGGGTTAAAATCTTTCTCACTGAAATGATATGTGCACCCACTGTTGTGTCAATAAATGTATCTATTTATCCAATTAGTCCCATAGCTGATTTAACACGTGGCTCTTTTTCAGAAAGGGGGTCTTTCATTTGTAAAAGAAAAAAGCCAAGGTTGACCAGATGTGCTTGAATGGGGCAGTAGGAGTTGAGATAATTGTTTTCTTGTATCCCTGTAATGGAGAAGCCTAACTAATCATAACATCATAGACTCAGAGTTCATGACCTCATGGAGGTCATTTAGTCCAGGAGTCTTCAAAAAGAGGAGTCATACCCCTAGGGTGCATGAGGACTTTTCAACGAGGAAAGAGGTAGACTGTTTCAGGGGAATTAATGTCTAGAACCTCAACAATTTCCATAAGTAGGCTTTCTTTACAACAGAAGGGCTTACTTCTTACATATTCAGAATCTTACTGTGACATACTGTGACTGGAGCATAAAGCTTCCTGTATGTCAAACAAAGGCAAAATTTAAAGCATTTTTGTTGATGAAGCCTCTTTTATTCAAGACACCATAAACCCGAGGTAGGGCTTCAGTGTCTTTCAGGTATTTCTATCAAGGACAAAGTGTGAAGTTAAGAAATGGAGTATTTAAGACTGTTGGCAGGTTTTGAAATCTGAGACATCAAGAGGGAGGATTGATTTTTGTTTAATGCCCTTATCACCCATCCCAACCATTGTCAAAAATTGCTTTTCACCTACAGAAGAGTTTTGTGATTGCAAAGAGAACATCAATAAGGTAAGAAATCTTAAAGGTGGTGATGCCTTATTTAACCCAATTGTCAAACCCATGGCAAGGATTTGTGCTTTATCTGTCTCTCTACTATCTACCTAGAGGAGGAATTCAGAACTGCGATTGTTGTGACAAAACGTATATTAATTCATTTGAACTGAAAAAATGTCAGACTTTTTCTGACAGAAAGTAAGCTTGATTTTAATGAGTACTAATTCTGCCAGTAAATTATATAGCAGGTATTTCCCATAAATT